AGCTTCTTTAAGCTTCCAACAATTCTCGGTGAGATGGCCCCTACCTTGGAGATACTTGCAGTGTGCATTGGGGTTCCAGTTAGCCGACCTCTTTTCGACTGGTGGGTCCCCAAATGGTCCAATGGGAGTTATAAGACCTTTTGCATTTAATCGATCAAATGCAGTGTCATAACTCATGTCAATAGGAGTAAAGTTCCTCCTAAATGGTTTCTTTTGTCCTTGATTATTCATAGCAAGGACTTCACCTAGATTAAAAGTGCTAATGTTGTTTGAGTGGGTGGTTTTGGAAGAAGAAGGATTGTCGTTCTTCTTTCCTTTCCAGCCACTTTTGGAGTTATTGTTGGCAGCTTTTAACTTAGCCAGGTCGTCTTCAATATTGATTCCAATGTCGTAGACGGCCTTGAAGGTATGGAGATTATTTTGATACTTGAGATGCTTGGAGTATTTTTCTTGAAGATTTTTGATGAATAACCTTACAGACTCTTTTTCACTTGGCACCTCAATCATCTTAGCTGAGGTTTCTCTCCATTTGTTAAAGAAGGAGGTGAAGCCTTCGTTCTCCTTCTGCTTGAGGATTTCAAGTTTCCTATGGTCAGTCTCAACTTGAATGTTGCACTTGTATCTATCAACAAAAGCGTTTGCTATGGACTCCCAGGTGGAGGTCTTTTCTTTCTCGAGAGAAAAGAACCATTGCTGGCAAACGATCTCGAGAGATAGTGAGAACAAAGAGGGGAACACCTTTTGTCGATACCCTTAATACTCATTATTGTTTCGAAGGCTCTTAAATGAAAATAAGGGTTATCAGTTGCTTTGAATTTCGGGATGTCGTTGGCATTGAACTTCTGCGGAAGAAGATCTTTGTCCACTGAGACCCCTTGTGAACTAATCCCTTGAAACTTGTAGTTGCTAGATAGCTTGCTTAGACTATCTTGCATGAGGTCCATCTGTTGTTGTTTCACGGGATCATCAATCTTAAGTGTTAGGAGCTTCAGTGCCTCAGTCACGGTAACCAGTTGGTTCCTAAGCTCATTGACTTCTTCTTGTGTTGCCATTACTGTCCTAGATTTCCTCTTACGAGCAATGGGTTTGTCGAAAAGTTGGACTTGTACGAAAAGGTTGTCTTTGATTAACCGTCCTTCCTTTCTTGACCACGCGCTGTAATTTAAACCATTTTTGCGTTTTAATTACTTGACTCAAATCGACCTTGACTTTACGGTTTTAAAGAGGGAAAAATAAAAATTGGTGCATACTTTGGCAAAAATAATGTATATATTTTTTAGGAACCAAGTATGGTGTTTAAATTGGAGGATTAATATCCGACTTACCCCCCTAAAAAAATGACGGAAAAAACGCGCATACAAGACTCTCTTAGACATGGTCAAAGTGTGTGTATTGGTGTGTGCGTTGAGTGTAAGTGACATGCTTGGACTCTTGTGTAGGACCATGGGACTTGGTGCCTAGACTCACTTAATGACTTGACAAAGTATTATTGACGGTAAAATTTAACCGAATTAATTAGTAAACTGGTTAATTAGACATGAGGTGATGACTCGATCAATAATCCGAACTGTCGTCAAAACGACAGGACTGGCGCCTCTCTTTGCAGTGTAGCGCCAGACGACAGAGCTGTCGCCAGTCGCCACACTCCACTGAGTGGCGCTACAGTTCAAACTTTGGCGCCATTGCTGGAGCTTCGATCTGAAACTGTTTTCGGTGTTATTAATCAACAGGGGTATGCCTAAAGTCGTACTAGGTCAATTCTGTTAAAATATTAGACTTTATTTACTCAAATTAATTAATTAATTTATTAATTAGGCAAATTTCTTTTAGTCATTAATTTATTTAATCTTAACACAAGTCAAACAAACGGTTAAGAAAAAATATACCATATGCACAACAAATAATGCACAATTAGTCAAGTAGGCACAATTTGATGCAATGAGTTTGCAACCTAAACATGGCTCTAGTTCTCTAAAGTTTGGGATAGGGGTTAGTCAATAGAGGGTCCATGGTTAATTGTCCGGATGCACCGCACGGAAGCCAAACCGTGAAGGGTTGGCGCGAGAGGATTGGACACCGTGAGTTTTAGAAAAAACTCGCTTCCATGGTTTGGTGAATTCAACAATCTCGGATGTACCCTTTGTTGCTCAGAGCGTTCAATCAGGTAGATGGAGCATGAATTCCCAGAGGGTTATGTCCATATGTAGAACACATATGGGTTTCAGAAAAGTTAGAAAAACTTAATAAAGAATTAGGATCGAGCAAACAATGCGAAAAACTGGTCGAAATTAGAACGCATATTTCTGGCTCGGTATTGGAAGAATTTAGCGCCAGCAAACAGAGATTGGCGCCGAATTTTGGCTGTAGCGCCTGACGACAGAGCTGTCGTCTGGCGCTATGGTCAAAGTTCTAGCGCTAATTTTCTGTTCGCTGACGCTAATTCCTACATGCCTCAGCAGCTTTCTGTGCTCGATAAAATTTTCCAGTTTCGCGCAGTGTAATTTCGGTCCTAGTTGTGAAAGATATTCCTCAAATTTCCTACGTGTAAAAATCCTATGTTTTAACTCATTACAGATGGTCTTTCCAATGAGATCTTTTTTATGCATATGACAATAATGTTAATCAAAATTACGCACATGAAATACTTAGAACGTTTCGAGTCTCATCCACTCATTCTAAATCATTGTCGAAATAAATTTCAGGAATTAAAATAGAAATCCTCCCCAGTGGAGTCGCCAAAAAACTGTAGGGAATATTTCAAGCATTACCCCTAGCTTGAACCCCATTGTGATCGTACACTAAAGTACGGTGGCGTCCAAAGGGAAAGAAGATAGAGCAAAAGAGTCGCCAACAAGTTTTAGGAACTTGTAAACCGTTCATAGGGTGAAGGTTACACCCCTTAACGATCCATGAGATCGTCAACTCCAATAGGTCTGGAACCATGACTGGTAGTTCAGGGATGAAGGTACAAATCCAACCTAAAAGAGATTGAACCTGCCTTAATAATAGGCCTCTACTTTATTCAGATCGTATTCATGTGCGCTTTCCGACTAACATGCAATCTATAGGATTAACCCTAAACCTGTTTATCTATGTTGGTTGAATATTAATGCAAAAATAAACTATTATTGGCGATCACTTGAATTATAATCAAATTAACCCTAAACAAGATTATTAATTATCTTATAAGCGTGATTACAAGTACCAATTCCCTTTAAACATGCATAAAAGGTGTGATCAATAAATAACAATAAATATCAAGCAACATAATAAATAATCATCATAATAATAATAATTAAAATAATAATCACAATTAAAATAATCATGTTGACAATAATATTAATAGCAAGATCCTAGGCATGATACTAACAAGATTAATAACAAACCCTAGCATGTCACTAAACAATAAAGATCAAAGCTTTAACCCTAACATGATACTAACATGCTATTAGGAAAGAAAATAAAAGGCATCATAGCAATCATACTTAATATTAAAGTTACCCTAAACATGATACTAGGAATATCATAATAACAACCTAAGCATGATTTCTACATAATAATATCAATAAAAACCATTAAAGCACTTACTTGGATGCCTCGTACCTCTTTCTAATAACAAAATACACACGTTAGTAACTTCAAGGTAAATAATAAACAAATAATTAAATTAAATAATTGAAAGAGAGATTTGGGACCAAACCCTCAGAAATTAAACCTTTCACGTCTGGGGCGAAGGCAACTTCGAATATGGCTAGGTGTATCTAAATTTAATGAATGCAGAATTTTTATATTTGAGAGAAGGCTAGTTTAGAAAAAGAGAGAGAGAGAGTAATCAAGAAAATCTTGATGAGAGTTGGTGAATGAAAACGGGGTTTTTAGGAAGCTATTTATAGAAAACCAGCCAAAAAGATAAAACAATCAAAACAAAGTTCTGACGCCTAAAACCAGGTTAGCGCCAAACGCTGACGTTAGCGCCAGACGCTAACGCTAGCGCCAGGCGCCAAGCGTAGCGTCAGGCGCTACAGTTGGCTTTGGCGCTGACTAAGAAATCGACGCGTTTTCTTAAAATCAGATAGAAATTGCCGTACAGGAGGATAAAATTGTATTTTCCTCAAAAAACGTTCTTTTATTCTGATTAAAACTCTAAAAAGTCAACAAAAGTCAATTTATCAATGCTAATTGAATTAGGAATGAAAAGAACCTTATAGAAGAATCTAGAAGAATAAAACCATTCCTAATTGCATTAGGAATGATAAATCCATATTAGGCCCTCCTCTAGATCATTGGGCTGCATATAAGGCTCAAACCAGGCCCAGTTCAGTAATTTGGCCATAACTTCCTCAATATTCATCGGAATTGGGCTTATAATATATCTTTGAAAAGATATTTTCAAGCCCTATCCAACTTAACCACTATTGGACCCATATCATGGACCAACCAAACTGGATTGGCTGTTTTCTTTAAATAGGTTTTCAAAAATAGAGAGAGGAGAAAAGAAACTAAAACTATCCGCAACACTAAACTTTCCACACTTTCACTTCATTCGACGCGAAAGGTACTCATCATTGGGTTTAGTTTTTGGGAGACACAAATGGGTGTCTACAGGAACTGATACCCTAAGCAAAATTGGTAGTCTATTGGGAGTGCCCATTTGTGTAGATGAGTGTACTTCCAGACAACTTAGGGTCTCATTTGCTAGGATACTTGTTGAGGTGGATATAACTAAGGTCCTACCTGATTCTGTCTGGGTTGAAGGACCAGCTGGTGAAAGTGTTGAGCTTAAGATTCAGTTTGAATGGAAGCCTCCATTTTTCAAGAAGTGTGATAAGGTTGGCCATGATTGTTCTGCTCCTAAGGCTCCTTAGAAACAAACTACCCATGCTCCAACTCAGAAAGAGGCTGCCCAGAAACAAAAACAAGTTTGGGTACTTAAAACTTAAACTAGTGTGCCTCAAACAAAGGTTACTAATGAAGAGGTTGTGTAGCCTACTGATCCTCCTATGACTACTCCTGCTCAGGATCATTTGGTTAATTTTGATGATGGCTGGAGATTGGTGGGGAAAAAGACTAAAACTCAGAATATCAGACAAACTCAGCATGTTGTTACTAGGGTGAATGCTTACAATGCTCTTATGGATGATGAGGAGGCTGCTAATCCTATCGGGGGTGATGGTAATCCCCTTCCGGTGCCATGATTATTACAACCTGGAACATTAGGGGTCTAAATGATCCCAATAAAGTGACTGCTGTTAAGTAGTTACTCAGAGATCACTCTATTGATGTTATGCTGTTATGGCTATCTTAGGAAGTAAAGTTAAATTGCATAAGTTTGATTTTGTGAAAAAGAAGTTTGGAAAAGCTTGGGAGTGGATTTGCAATTATTCTTTCTTTCCCAAGGGTATAATATGGGTTGGCTGGAAACCTGATGCTGTTTCTTTAGATGTTATAGCTGTTAATGAGCAATTTATGCATACTGTTATCTCTGCTAAGGATTTTCAGCATCAGATTGCCTGTACCTTTGTTTATGGGCTTCATTCTATTCAAGTATTCAACATAGGGCTCCTATGTGGACTGATATCAAAAGTTTGGGTAATATTCAATTACCTTGGCTCTGTATTGGTGATTTCAATTCTGTATTGTCTTCTCAGGATAGGCTTAATGGGAACCCAGTAACTGACTATGAGGTTAAGGATTTCCAGAATTTTGTTCATTACTTGGAGCTTGTTGAAATTAAGAGTAAAGGTTCCTTTTTCTCTTGGAATAACAAGGGTCATGGCATGGATATGATTACTACATGAATTGATAGGGGCCTGGTAAATGAAGCTTGGATGATGGTTTATGGTTAAACTGAGGCTGTCTATCTCACTCCTTCTTTGTCTGATCACTGTCCTATTTTAGTGGATTTAGTTCACTCTGCTGCTGGAAAAGGAAAATCTTTTAGATTTTTAAATTGCCTTACCTCTCACAAGGATTTTCAGGAAGTTGTGTCTTCTCATTGGAATGTTAATGTTACTGGTAACTCTATGTTACAGGTTTGGAAGAAACTGAAATTTTTCAAAACTGGTCTTAAAGACCCAAACAATAACAACTTTACTAAGATCACAGACAGACAAGAAGCTGCTAGATCTCATCTTGCTGAGGTTCAAACTCAGTTGGCTGAGGAATTTACTAATGTTTCTCTTCAGACTCAAGAGGCTGCTGGAATTGAGAAAGTGAAATACTAGATGGATACTTATGAGAGTATCCTAAAGCAAAAGTCAAGGGTTCACTGGATCAAACTTGGAGATTCTAACACTCATTATTTCATTTCTGTCCTTAAATAAAGGTAGAATAGAAATAGAATTGACTCTATTTATAATAGTGATGATGTTATGCTGAAGGATCCAGATTTATTTCAAGCTGAAATTATTAGCTTTTATAAGAATCTCTTAGGTTCTGCTGCTAGTACTTTGCCAACTGTTGATGTTGCTATTGTTAGAGCTGGGAAGCAGCTTTTCTTTGATGATATTGATATTCTCTCTGCTCCTATCTCTCATGCTGAAATTTATCAAGCTTTGGCTAATATTGGGGATGATAAAGCTCCTGGCATAGATGGTTTCAATGCTGTGTTCTTTAAACAAGCCTGGAATCATGTGAAATCTGATGTTTATAAAGCTATTCTGGATTTCTTTGACACTGGTGTTCTAGAGAAATCTTGGAGTTGTACTACTTTTACTCTTGTTCCAAAGGTTCAGAATCCTTCTTATGTTAAGGAATATAGGCCTATTTCTTGCTGCACCCTAGTTTACAAGTTGATCTCTAAAGTCATAACTGCTAGAGTGGCAAGGGTGGTGGGTTCAGTTGTTAATGATGCTCAGGCTGGGTTTATTCCTGGTAAGCACATTGGGGATAACATTTTTCTTGCTACAGAGTTGATCAAAGGTTATTCTCACAAATTTGTTATCCCTAGATGTATGTTGAAAAATGATCTTAGGAAAGCCTATGACTCAGTTGAATGGGGTTTCCTTGAGGTTATGCTTGGTGAATTGGGGTTTCCTAACAAGGTCATAACCTGGATTATGGGCTGTATAACTTCTGTTTCTTACTCAGTTATGATCAATGGTTATCCTTCTGCTCCTTTTCAAGCAAAGAAAGGTTTGAGACAAGGTGATCCCATGTCCCCTTTTCTCTTTGCTTTGTGTATGGAGTATTTGTCAAGATGTTTGCAGAATATGACTAAGAATCCAGACTTTAACTTTCATCCTAGGTGTGAGAGACTTGGGATTACTCATTTAATGTTTGCAGATGATCTAGTGCTCTTCTCTAGGGCTGATTTGGTTTATGTTAAGCTTCTCTTTAAGGCTTTTCAGCAATTTTCTGAAGCTTTTGGTTTGTCTGCAAACTTGGATAAAAGTGATGCCTACTTTGGCGGCATCTTGGATCATGAAAGATGTGAGCTTCATCAGGTTCTTTGAATGGCTAATGGTACTCTCCTTTTTAGGTACTTAGGTGTTCCCTTGTCCTCTAAGAAGCTCACTATTTTTGAGTGCAGACCCTTGATTGAAAGGGTTACAGGCAGAATTGACACTTGGGCTACTAAGCACTTGTCCTATGCTAGCAGGTTACAGTTAGTTAAAAGTTTTCTCTTTGGTGTTTAAGCTTTTTGGGCTCAGATTTTCATTTTGCCAAAGAAAATCATTAGAGATATGGAATCTAGATTCAGATATTTCTTATGGAACGGGGAAGGGTACCCTACAAAGAAAGCTCTTGTTGCCTGGAAGTTTATGTGCCTTCCCAAGTCTTGTGGTGGTTAGAACTTGACTTCTTTGGAAGAATGGAATACAACAGCTATCACTAAGGTGCTTTGGGACCTTCCTAGAAAATCTGATAACCTTTGGAGTTAAATGGGTTCATATTTACTATTTTGCAGGCAAGACTTTTGGACTGCTCCTATTCCTAACAAGGCTTCCTGGATTTTGAAAAAGATCTTTGCTTCTAGAGATAATGTTATTGTCAATGGCAAGATGCAGATTAAGAAGCTATATAGTATCATTAAGCCGCATGGCCCTAAAGTTCCCTGGAAGAGAATTACTTGCAATAACCAAGCTTCACCAAAGAGTATTTTTGTCACTTGGCTTGCTATTTTGGACAGACTGGTCACTAAGGATAGACTATTAGTCTGGCAGATCCCTTGTGATCCTTGTTGCTTTTTTTGTACTGGTACTAATAAAAATGTGAACCATTTGTTCTTTGATTGCAGCTACTCAAAGGTGATCTGGTCTTCAATGTTACAAAAACTGGGTTTCACTAGCCTGTGCCTAGCTTTGCGGATGAGCTGCAATGGATTGCAAAATGTTGCAGGAAAACTGATGCTAGGAGCAGACTTATTGTGATGTGTTTTTTCTGAAACTGTCTATAATGTGTGGCTTCAGAGAAATGATTTAATGTTTACAGAAAACTTTAAATCTGCTTCTGAGTTAATTAGGGAGATTACTTTTCTAGTTGCTTGCAGATGTAATAGCATTGATAGATATTTACTGTATTCTGCTTAGGTTAGTTGTCCCGGTCCCGGTTCTTAGTACCCTTCCTAGAAGGTGCCTAAGTCTCTGAGTCCAGTAGTTGGTTCTAGTCCTTCCTAGAACCCTTCCTAGAAGGTGGCTAGGTTTGGACTGAAATCTGTTTTGGTGTTTGGTTGGCCTGTTTGGTCTTTGGTGTTTGGGGTGTTGCAGCTTAGCTCTTTCTGTAAGTTGTAACCTTATTATTTGGTAATAAAATCTCTATTTACCAAAAAAAAAATTCAGAAATTTAAGTTTGAGAGTGACGTTTTTTTTAAATTATATATTTTTTAAAAAATAGCTATTGGAAGTGAGGGTTCTGTATAAATGACAGTTGGGTGGGTTGCGTTTTAAAGATATGTTTAGTTTTTTGGGTAAGTTTGTTTTGGTTTGCGACTTTTTTAATGGGGCGCAGTTAAATTGGACTTATGGGCTAGTGTTGCAGCAAGAATAGATGCATAAGGGTGTAGCTTAGACCAATTGGTTTGGGACGGTTTTGGGGCGGGTATGAGGTGGGTATGGATATCCAAGTGGGTGATGGGGGTGGGGATGGATCCTATTTTGTACCCGGTGGGGCGAGTATGGATGTCGATATTGTACTCGCCATGGGTGGTGGGGAGGGGATGGGTATAAGGTTTTTAGGCGGGTATGGGTATGGAGGTACCATCATACGCATCTGACCCGCCCCATTGCCATCCCTACTCCTATACTTGTTAACCATGATCTCCTCCTTCCTAACCCTTAATATTTGGATCACCCAAAAATAAAATTCCGTTGACTTACGTTAAGCATAACATATTTAGAGGAGTTTGACTGAATGGTTGACCATAATTGGGATACTTAGAGACTCCAAATATTAAATGGTTTAGAGTTAAGTGAATTACAATCAATCAATAACACAATACTAAAACAAACATCAAGAATGACACGTGTCAGTTCTTGGTCATGTTTTTTTTTTTCCCTTCAATTTTTTTTATTCAATTCCTAATTTTTTTTCTTTATATAATTGTGATTCACTTCCTTAAAAAAACCATTCACCAAATTATTTAATTGTGATTCACTTCGTAAAGAATCTTTTCCATATCTTTTATTATATAAAATATTATTCTATTTTTTTGATGTTCCACCCGATTCACCTTTTGGACTAATTTGAATTTGCACGAAGCTCAGTTATTGATATAAATTAAGATTCAAAATGGTTTACAAAATTTTATAACAATTTACGGAGTAAAATTTTAATTCAAAATCATTTTTTTTTGTAAAAACCGTGCGTGGCACGGGACTTAATCTAGTGTTAAATGAATTCTAAAGACAAATATTATGTCCAAGGAAAAAAATACAAAGTAGGGTTCAAATAAAAAAGCGCCTCGAAATGCTCTCTGTAGGAAAACCTTCGAACCCTAATGAAAACTCGAATTCAACAGAGGAATGAGACCAATTGGACAGATCAAATAAGAAACCAAAGAGAAAAATCACATAATTTATTTTTAATGGAGAACCTATGGAAGATGAACAAATGATGGAAGTGTCAAGGGAGGAACAAAGCCCTATGGTTGCAGCCAATTTTGAAGGATCTTTGGCTGTGAATATGAAGAAACAGAGCATGGGATTGTCGTTCCGTGATCTCATGAAACATGATATGAGAAAGGGTGCTGATGCTCAAATGTCTCATTCAGAAGGTGATGCTGAAGAAGAGGAAATTTCTGATGACGAAGAGGCACCGGAAGAAATCTTAAATGATGAAAGGTGTCTGGTAATCCAATTAACTAAAGAAGAAAAAAGACAATTGAGAGAACCATGGAAAACATCTCTGATTATTAAGATTTTTAGTGGGAAATTGGGGTACATGGGATTGATGCGTAGACTGAAAAGGAAAAGGAAGATCAAAGGAGATCTAACTTTTACTGATATAGGATGCAACTACTATATTGAGAGATTCACTAGCTATGTAGACTATAACTATGTCCTGTCTCAAGGCCCTTGGGTTTTGGATGACAATTACTTGACTATAAGGAAGTGGGTTCTAAATTTTGTCCCTGATGAAGCACCAATGAAAGTCCTTACAGCATGGGTGCGTATCCTAAACCTTCCAGTGGAGTACTTTAATGTCAATTTTCTCAATAAAATTGGATCAAAGATAGGTAAGGTTCTTAGAGTTGATAAAACGACTGCTTAGGCTGAAAGAGGTCAATTCATGAGGCTAAGTGTTGAGATTGACTTGTCAAAACCGTTGTTATCTAAGTTTTGGCTGAAAGGACGTATATGGAGGGTTCAATATGAGGGAATAAGAATGGTCTGCTTTAAGTGTGGTAAACTTGGACATGTTGAGGATGAATGTCCTCTGTCTTGAATGGAGGGGGATAATTCATCCATAACAATACATGAAAATCCCTTACATAACAATTACCCTAAGCCAGAGGAAAATAAAGACTTTGGGTCTTGGATGTTGGTGAAAAATCCTTCAAGGAAAAGAAACCCGAGAATTGATAAACTAGGTATGGTGGGTGTAAAGGCCAACGAGGTGGCTGGCAAGGTGGCGATAACTCAGGCACGGTGCTGGAAAAGGGAAGGGATAACTTTGGAAAGAATATGCCTAAAAATTCTGATGGAGAAAATCAAGGGAGTGGCTCAAGATTTGAAGCTTTGAATGCGCAAATTGAGGAAATTAATGAATTAAACATGGAAGTTGATAAGGGAGGAGAAGATTTTGTTGAGATACTAGAGGAAAATGATGGAAATAATTTTTCCACAATTAATCTAGGTGTAGGGAATATTTCAAGCATTACCCCTAGCTTGAACCCCACTGTGATCATACACTAAAGTACGGTGGCGTCCAAAGGGAAAGAAGATAGAACAAAAGAGTCACCAACAAGTTTTAGGAACTTGTAAACCATTCACGAGGTGAAGGTTACACCCCTTAACGATCCATGAGATCGTCAACTCCATAAGGTCTTGAACCAAATAGGGTTCGGGGATGAAGGTACAAATCCAACCTAAAAGAGATTGAACCTGCCCTAATAATAGGCCTCTACTTTATTCTGATCGTATTCATGTGCGCTTTCTAACTAACATGCAATAAATAGGTTTAACCCTAAACCTGTTTAATCTATGTTGGTTGAATTTTAATATACAAATAAATCTATTATTGGCGATCACTTGAATTATAATCATATTAACCCTAAACAAGATTATTAATTATCTTATTAAGCGTGATTACAAGTACAAATTCCCTTTAAACATGCATAAAAGGCGTGATCAAGCATTAAAAATAAATATATCAAGCAACATAATAATAATATTCAATAAAAATAATTATAATCATAAAAATAAACATGTTCATGTTAAAGCATAATAATAGTAAGATCCTAGGCATGATACTAACAAGATTAATAACAAACCCTAGCATGTCACTAAACAATAAAGATCAAAGCTTTAACCCTAACATGATACTAACATGAATAAATATTAGAAAGAACATAGGAAGCATCATACTTTTAATCATACTTGATATTAAAATTACCCTATACATGATATTAGGAATTTATTGTTGTCACCCTAAACATCAAATTAAGGAAAACATCCTAACATGATACTAGGAATCAAAATAACATCTAAGCACGATTTCTATATCATAATATCAATTAAACCATTAAAGTACTTACTTGGATGCCTCGTACCTCTTTCTAATAACAAAATACACACGTTAGTAACTTCAAGGAAAATAATAAACAAAACAATTAAATTAAATAATTGAAATAGAGATTTGGGACCAAACCCTCAGAAATTAAACCTTTCACGTCTAGGGCGAAGGCAACTTCGAATATGGCTAGGTGTATCTAAATCTAATGAGTGTGGAATTTTTATATTTGAGAAAAGGCTAGTTTAGAAAAAAAAGAGAGAGTAATCAAGAAAATCTTGATGAGAGTTGGTGAATGAAAACGGAGTTTTTAGGAGACTATTTATAGAAAAAATCAGCCAAAAAGATAAAACATCAAAAACAGAGTTCTGAAGCGAAAAACCAAGTTAGCGTCAAACGCTGACCTTAGCGCCAGACGCTAAGGCTAGTGCCAGGCGCCAAGTGTAGCGTCAGGCGCTACAGCTGGCATTTGGCGCTGACTAAGAAATTGACACGTTTTCTTAAAATCAGATAGAAATTTCCGTACAAGAGAATAAAATCGTATTTTCCTCAAAAACGTTCTTTTCTTCTAATTAAAACTCTAAAAAGTCAACAAAAGTCAATTTATCAATGCTAATTGAATTAGGAATGAAAAGAACCTTCTAGAAGAATATAGAAGACTAAAACCATTCCTAATTGCATTAGGAATGATAAATCCATATTAGGCCCTCCTCTAGATCATTGGGCCGCATATAAGGATCAAACCGAGCCCAGTTTAGTAAATTGGCCATAACTTCCTCAATATTCATCGGAATTGGGCTTATAATATATCGTTGGAAAGGTCTTTTCAAGCCCTATCCAACTTCACTACATTTGGACCCATATCATGGACCAACCAAACTGGATTGGCTGTTTTCTTAAAATAGGTTTTCAAAAACAGAGAGGAGAAAAGAAATTAAAACTATCCGCAACACTAAACTTTCCACACTTTCACTTTATTCGATTATGATTCAACGTGAAAGGTACTCATCACCGGGTTTAGTTTTGGGGATACACAAATGGGTGTCTACAGAAGCCCCCACTTTGACTGAGTTTGGAGAAACACAAGTTTCGAAAACAAAAGTCAAAGTAGCGATAGGGACAGAGAATGATTCAGAACGTTCTGCGATCCTAAACCATTCTTGTAACGCCGATACCTGCAAACTAGCGTTAGTTAAACAGATAAGAGAGTTAAGAAATGTGTATCTTGCACCGTCGAGCACACGTCTCTGAAAATAACCGATTTGCTGCCGCTTTACTGTTTTGATGACCTCCTGCCAAGAGAATGCCATCCCGCTTGAAAACCGCTACGCTTGTAACTATTTACAATGTTGAAGATTGC